CATACAAGGATCAGGATATGTTGAAGATTAAAAATTGTTCAAGGCATGACCCTTGGGCAAAGGGAGTGGTCTCAAGGTCACTTCAAAGTTGACCTAAGTTTACAATTAATAAAAACGTGTATATTTTTCTTACTATAAGGACTAGAATCATCAAATCTTGTAAGTTGATGCATCTTACAACTTCACATCATGTTAACTCAAAAGTAGGTCACGGTGACCTGTTTTTTAAATTTTGTTTGGATTTGTTTTCAAATTGATTTGAAGGCATATTTTGGACACTTTAAGGCCTATGATCATCAAACTTTGTCAGTTGATGCATCTTGGGTCCTTGAACAATGTCAACTTAAAAGTAGGTCACTGTGACCTACTTTTTGAACTTTATGACTTATCCTTTTAAAAACATTAAATCCCATTATTTCAGACACTGGGAGGTTAAGAATCATCAAATCTTGTACTTTGATGCATCTAGAGACCTTAAATCATATTTATAGTAAAATAGGTCACTGTGACCTACTTTTTAAATTTTGCCAACATTTGTTTTCAAATTGTTTAAAATGCATATTTAGATACCTTCAGACCTACGATCATCAAACTTGGTCAGTAGATGCATCTTGGGTCTTTGAAAAATGTCAACCAAAATGTAGGTCACGATGACCTACTTTCGACATTTTATGGCTATATTTCAGTATCTTAGGCATTTATTGGCTAAGAATCATCAAACTTTGTGAGTGGATGCATATTTAGTTTTCGGAGAGTGATGACCAAAAAGTAGGTCATGGTGACCTACTTTTGACATTTTATGGCTTTATTTAAGTATCTCTGGTACTTATTGGCTTAGAATCATCAAACTTTGTGAGTTGATGCATCTTGGGTTTTCGGAGAGTGACGACCAAAAAGTAGGTCATAGTGACCTACTTTTGACATTTTGTGGCTATAATTAAGTATCTCTGATACTTATTGACCTAAAATCATCAAACTTTGTCAGATGATGCATCTTGGGTTTATGGAGAATGTCGACCAAAAAGTAGGTCATAGTGACCTACTTTTGAATATCTCAGGTACGTATTAGCTTAGAATCATCAAACTTTGTCAGTTTAGGCACCTTGGGTTTTCGGAGAAAGTCGACCAAAAAGTAGGTCACTGTGACCTACTTTTGAATATCTCAGGTACGTATTAGCTTAGAATCATCAAACTTTGTCAGTTTAGGCACCTTGGGTTTTCGGAGAACGTCGACCAAATAGTAGGTCACTGTGACCTTCTTTTGACATTTTTTGGCTATATTTGATTATATCTGGTACTTATTGGCTCGGAATCATCAAACTTTGTCAGTTGAGGCATCTTACGGTTTCATTTAATGTCCAACAAGTAGTAGGTCACGGTGACCTACTTTTGAATATCTCAGGTACTTATTGGCTTAGAATCAGTAAATTTTCTCAGTTTAGGCATCTTGGATGTTTGGATAACATCGTCCAAAAAGTAGGTCACCGTGACCTACTTTTGACATTTGATGGCTATATATTTAATTATCTCTGGAAGTAATTGGCTTAGAATTGTTAAACTTTGTCAGATGATGCATCTTGGGTTTTCAGAGAATGTTGACCAAAAAGTAGGTCATGGTGACCTACTTTTGAATATCTCAGGTACTTATTTAATTAGAATCATCAGTCTTTGTCAATTAATGTATCTTGAGTCCTCAGAAAATTCCAATCAAAAGGTAGGTCACTTTGACCTACCTATGGTATTTGATAATTATATTATAATATCTTCAGTCTTAACTGGCTAAATATTATCAAACTTTGTAAGTTGATGCATTTTGGGTCTTATGATACTAATAGAGTTGGAGGCTTCTAATAGAAGTGATAGATTGTACAATTTATCAGAAGAGCGATTCAAGGCCCTTGGGCCTCTTGTTTAGACTAAAATCTCCATGAACACCATTACGGACAACAGTAACGTTGGAAAAAATACATGGTTCAAATAAAGTGTTATTGATATAAAAATCTTTATTGAACAGAGCGACAGAGATTCAGGAGCAATACAAGATGGTGACTGTCAGAAAACTGGTTCTGAAGTATGGAGTAAACCGGGTACCAGACAAACAGTCCAATGAGGTGTGTTTTATTTATTTATTCACACACATACAGTATTAGAGTACACACAACTATATACAAAATCTTTATACCAAATGTATTTCTAGACAACTGTTTACAGGTTTCTAAAAGTTAATCTATTTGTAGGACCATTATTTACATACATACAGCACACATATATAAAATCTTCATACGAAACTAAGTTTCTATATAATAATCTATTAAATTTTTCTTGGTAGGACCTGATAAAGTACATCCTGGTCCAAGACAAGCCCGATTGTGTACAGGACGCCCTGAGTGTGATGGAGGCGTACGGTAACACAGAGTACCAACAGGAAATCTATCTCTTCAAGTGTCGACATCTGATTCACAAAAACAAGGTAGGATTACTATCTCTTCAAGTATAGACATCTCTTTCACAAACAGGGTAAGATTACTATCTCTTCAAATGTAAACATCTCATTCACAAAAACAGGGTAAGATTACTACTGTAAATGTATTATATTTGGCGTGTACGATATTTGGCGGAAATTGATTTTGAATTGGTTAGCGTAAATTTGATTTAACGCGTTTATTCATTTTCGTATACATCAGTAAATTGGCAAGATATTTAGCGTTGAACTTGAATTAGCGGACGTTTCTTTCCACCAAAGTTGCTAAAAAGAATACACAGCCAAATGTAATATGTTTACAGTATCTCTTCAAGTGTAGACATCTCATTCACAAAAACAAGGCAAGATTACTATCTCTACAAGTGTAGACACCTCATTCACAAAAACAAGGCAAGATTACTATCTCTACAAGTGTAGACATCTCATTCACAAAAACAAGGCAAGATTACCATCTCTTCATCTGTAGACAACTCATTTACAAAAACAAGGCAAGATTACTATCTCTACAAGTATAGACCTCTCATTCACAAAAACAAGGCAAGATTACTATCTCTACAAGTGTAGACATCTCATTCACAAAAACAAGGCAAAATTACTATCTCTACCAGTGTACACATCTCATTCACAAAAACAAGGCAAGATTACTATCTCTACAAGTATAGACATCTCATTCACAAAAACAAGGCAAAATTACTATCTCTACAAGTGTAGACATCTCATTCACAAAAACAAGGCAAAATTACTATCTCTACAAGTATAGACATCTCATTCACAAAAACAAGGCAAGATTACTATCTCTACAAGTGTAGACATCTCATTCACAAAAACAAGGCAAGATTACTATCTCTACAAGTGTAGACAACTCATTCACAAAAACAAGGCAAGATTACTATCTCTTCAAGTGTAGACCTCTCATTCACAAAAATAAGGCAAGATTACTATCTCTTCATGTGTAAACACCTCATTCACAAAAACAAAGCAAGATTACTATCTCTACAAGTGTAGACCTCTCATTCACAAAAACAAGGCAAGGTTACCATCTCTTCATCTGTAGACAACTCATTCACAAAAACAAGGCAAGGTTACCATCTTTTCATCTGTAGACAACTCATTCACAAAAACAAGGCAAGATTACTATCTTAAGTGTAGACATCTCATTCACAAAAATAAGGCAAGATTTCTATCTCTACAAGTGTAGACATCTCATTCACAAAAATAAGGCAAGATTACTATCTCTACAAGTGTAGACACCTCATTCACAAAAACAAGGCAAGATTACTATCTCTTCATGTGTAGACACCTCATTCACAAAACAAGGCAAGATTACTATCTCTACAAGTGTAGACCTCTCATTCACAAAAACAAGGCAAGATTACCATCTCTTCATGTGTAGACACCTCATTCACAAAATAAGGCAAGATTACTATCTCTACAAGTGTAGACATGTCATTCACAAAAACAAGGCAAGATTACCATCTCTTCATGTGTAGACACCTCATTCACAAAAAAAGGCAAGATTATTATCTCTACAAGTGTAGACCTCTCATTCACAAAAACAAGGCAAGATTACTATCTCTACAAGTGTAGACATCTCATTCACAAAAACAAGGCAAAATTACTATCTCTACAAGTATAGACATCTCATTCACAAAAAAAGGCAAGATTATTATCTCTACAAGTGTAGACATCATATTCACAAAAACAAGGCAAGATTACTATCTCTTCATGTGTAGACACCTCATTCACAAAACAAGGCAAGATTACTATCTCTACAAGTGTAGACCTCTCATTCACAAAAACAAGGCAAGATTACTCTCTCTACAAGTGTAGACATCTCATTCACAAAAACAAGGCAAGATTACTATCTCTTCATGTATAGACATCAAATTTACAAAAACAAGGCAAGATAACAGCAAACTCTGGCTATTTAGTGGAAGTACAAGATGATAAAAAAATTTTATTAAAAGTTTATGCCATTTGATGATATCCCTGTTAAAGTCCAGTCAATGAAATAAAAAGTTAGAGGTAAACTAAAACTATTAGATAATTGTATATGTAATTGCTGGAAAATATTTTTTGGTGAAGGTCTTTAAAAAAAATGTAGCCATTGTGTAAAAGTTTTCTTCAAATAATGCAGTGGAAATCATGTTATTGTCCAATTCATTATGCAGCATAACTAGAAGAGAAAATTCTTTAAAACTGGGTTTAAATTATTTTGGCAGTTTTTAAACAATTCTTAGTGCTTTGTGTATGGAGATATTCTCTATTATTTTCTTACAATACAGCCTATATTGAACAAAACAAACCATTTTCAGAAGCATACATTATCAAACACATCAAAATTTAAGTTATTTTTGATTTAAATTCGTTATTTTTTTTATGAGTAAAGGTTCATTAATAATAGGACTGAAGTATGTACATGTGTATTTTTAAGATTTCAAAGTTCAGCATACTGATACATCAATTACATGTATATTACATTCCTCTAACTGTATAGAATACAACACAATGATGTAAATCACTGCAGATGCTTGTATTTGATTTTCTTTACTTGTTTATTTCTCAATTGCGCAACAAACAGATTGTCATTTGTATCTGTACACAGTCCCCAGGGTTGACGCAGTCCACAGTCTATGTAACGGAGGAACTGTCCATCCTGATCTATGATGTGGACACATTCATTGTTATAATCAGCTGTAAGGATGTGACTCTGACTGTCTGTGGTGATTCCTCGTGGATGGAATGGTTTGTTCTTTGGAGCAGGAGTATGTCCAGTGTACCTGAATCTCAGTTTCCCGGCCTGATTGACCACCACTACTGCTCCAGCTCCAATGTCAGATACACAGATATCCTGGTTCCTGTTTTCAGTTATGAATCTAGTAAAATGAGAACTAGATGAATAGAGAGGATTACCTTTATCATCAAACTGAATGGTTTGTTTCTTTGTTGAGCCAGAGTAACGGACAACTTTTGCTTGTTTTTCATCATAATTGTTCATGATAACCAGGAGGTCACCAGAGGAGGTTCTACAGACACCTTCAGGTTTCCAGTTCTGTAGTCTGATCAACTCCTCTATCTTCTCATTCTTCACAATGTTCACAGTTCCATCATTGTATGCAGTATAAACTAGATCTCCTCTTTTTGTCATGGCTATGTCAGATGGGTTTTTCCCTGATTGGGTTGTGATTGTCTTGAGTAGTGATCCCTGATTGACGCTGAAGAGTTTCATGGTGTTGTAATCTCCACTTGTCCAGATTTCTCCATCACTCAGACAGGCCACATTGTATTGGCATTCATACCCACTGTCTATGGTGGTGACAGTCTCTGGTTCTTCAGGCAGTTGTTTGACTAGAGAAGAGGATCCAGCTTCTGGTGATTTCTGTGATGTCTTCATGCTGTAGCCATGTTTATCTGATGTTAAAGAACTTGGTGATAAAACTCCAAACATTTTACCAAGTTGTTCTCCTTGTATTTTTCCTGGAATGAATTTTGGTAATGATGATACGATTTTGTCTGGAAGATTTCTGTATTTTTGTACACTGGGTGTGACACTAAATAGTTTTGATAATTCATTGGTGTCTATTGCAGTTTCCATTGAATCAATTTCTCCCTTGATATCAGCCATTGTCTTTTTTATTTCATCCAGATGTTTCTGTAGAGTTTGTAACTGTGTGTTTTTCATCTCATCAACTTCAGCTTTAAGTTTCCTGACAAGTTTATTAATTTCTCTGTGCCAGTCCTCTCCGTGTTTTGTTACGGCTGTTGAGAGATCTCCATATTCCTTTTCTAACTGACTTATTCTGTTTTGTACATCAGACGCAATGTCTTGGTAGGTGGGATAAATTGTATCATTTAATTCATTTATTTCTTTTGTAATCACTTCCTTTTTTTCATCCAGAACTCGAATGATTTTAGACAATTCATGACCTAAATGTTGATTAGATTCAAGGCAGCTGCTGCAGACAGGAATGTCACATTTTTTACAGTACATTTCACACTGTTCTTTGTGATGAGATTTACATTTAGGATTGAGGGGAGTAGATTTTCTATCCTTGAAGTCAACAATTTTATGAGGGTTCAAGAGATCAGCAGAAAAGTGTTCTCCCACACAGGCCTTACACAGGTTGACAAGACATGTATCACAGTGCATCTGTACCACAGCGGTCTCACACAGGTCACATCGCATCACGTCCTGGGCACTGGTACGGGGGTCCATCTTTATATTTTTTGACTGAAGCATTAAAAATTCAACATAAGTAATTATACATCTATTGACTGAGTTTGAGGCCAACATTTATTTTTTTTACTCCAGAAAGACAGTTTGACTGAGGCAGTAGGTAAATACACATGTAAATGTTCATCAAATTACATTAACAAGGTTCATTGAATCTTTTGGGAATTAAATTTTGTTCCATAGTTAAATGCTGTACTACTGAATTTTCAATGACTCAACTGTTATGCAGAGAAATACTATAATTTTCCTACCTGACTTCAGTAATGGCGTCCGTCCTTGATCAGTCTCCAAGTACAGTCTCTATACACTCTGATCACGTGACATACTGTATTGTCTATGTAAGGTTTTTACTCCTGGTTGGAGGGGGATTTAAATGCCATCAACAACTGCTTGGGCCAAAATAAAAAATACCTTTGTTTCCCCTAACGCGACCGACTCAATTAAATCGCGCCTACTGAAAAGATTTTTTAGATAAGTTGATTCAAATATTTTTTTTTATTGTTAACCAAGTTTTATAAAATAATTTCTTCAAAATCAGTTTTTATCAGAACGGCCGACATTGTTCTACTGTGATTTTCAAGCAGTTCAAGCATTTGTTGGAAACAAAATGACATCCAGACGTGATTACACCTGGCATTAGCTCTTCATAAATCAATGGCGACGTCTCAAGCCACGGTCCGGAGTCCGCATATAGCTCGGGAGAGGATCGTACATTTTGGCCGTGGTTTGCGACGATGCCCAATCTTATGCTTTGTAGCTCACCTGAGCCCAAGGCTCAAGTGAGCTTTTCTGATCACATTTTGTCCGGCGTCTGTCTGTCTGTCTGTCCGTCCGTCTGTCTGTCTGTAAACTTTTCACATTTTCGACTTCTTCTCAAGAACCCCTGGGCCAATTTCAACCAAACTTGCCACAAAGCATCCTTGGGTGAAGGGGATTCAAGTTTGTTCAAATGAAGGGCCACGCCCTCATTGAAGGGGAGATAATTGGGAATTAATGAAATTTGGTGGTATGCTTTAAAAATCTTCTTCTCAAGAACCACTGTGCCAGGAAAGATGAAACTTATGGGGAAACATCCTCAGGTAGTGTAGATTCAAGTTTTTTCAAATCATGACCCCCGGGGGTAGGGCGGGGCCAAAATGGCCGACCAAAGTTTTACATAGAAATATATAGGAAAATTCTTTAAAAATCTTCTTCTCAAGAATAGCCAAGCCATAATTGATCATATTTATGTGGAAGCATCCTCAGGTAGTGTAGATTCAAGTTTGTTAAAATCATGACCCCCGGGGGTAGGGCGGGGCCAAAATGGCCGACCAAAGTTTTACATAGAAATATATAGGAAAATTCTTTAAAAATCCTCTTCTGAAGAACAGCCTAGCAATAATTGATCGTATTTATATGGAAGCATCCTCAGGTAGTGTAGATTCAAGTTTGTTCAAATCATGACCCCCGGGGGTAGGGCGGGGCCACAATGGCCGACCAAAGTGTTACATAGAAATATATAGGAAAATTCTTTAAAAATCTTCTTCTCAAGAATAGCCTAGCCATGATTGATCATATTTACATGGATGCATCCTCAGGTAGTGTAGATTCAAGTTTGTTCAAATCATGACCCCCGGGGGTAGGGCGGGGCCAAAATGGCCGACCAAAGTTTTACATAGAAATATATAGGAAAATTCTTTAAAAATCTTCTTCTCAAGAATAGCTAAGCCATAATTGATCATATTTATGTGGAAGCATCCTCAGGTAGTGTAGATTCAAGTTTGTTCAAATCATGACCCCCGGGGGTAGGGCGGGGCCACAATGGCCGACCAAAGTGTTACATAGAAATATATAGGAAAATACTTTAAAAATCTTCTTCTCAAGAATAGCTTAGCAATAATTGATCATATTTATATAGAAGCATCCTCAGGTAGTGTAGATTCAAGTTTGTTCAAATCATGACCCCCAGGGGTAGGGCGGGGCCACAATGGCTGACCAAAGTGTTACATAGAAATATATAGGAAAATTCTTTAAAAATCTTCTTCTCATGAACAGCCAAGCCATAATTGATCATATTTATATGGAAGCATCCTCAGGTAGTGTAGATTCAAGTTTGTTCAAATCATAACCCCCGGGGATAGGGCAGGGCCACAATGGCCTACCCAAGTTTTACATAGAAATATATAGGAAAATTCTTTAAAAATCTTCTTCTCAAGAATAGCCAAGCCATAATTGATCATATTTATGTGGAAGCATCCTCAGGTAGTGTAGATTCAAGTTTGTTCAAATCATGACCCCCGGGGGTAGGGCGGGGCCAAAATGGCCGACCAAAGTTTTACATAGAAATATACAGGAAAATTCTTTAAAAATCTTCTTCTCATGAACAGCCAAGCCATAATTGATCATATTTATATGGAAGCATTCTCAGGTAGTGTAGATTCAAGTTTGTTTAAATCATGACCCCCGGGGGTAGGGCGGGGCCAAAATGGCTGACTAAAGTTTTACATAGAAATATATAGGAAAATTCTTGTAAAATCTTCTTCTCAAGAATAGCCAAGCCATGATTGATCATATTTATAGGGAAGCATCCTCAGGTAGTGTAAATTCAAGTTTGTTCAAATCATGACCCCAGGGGGTAGGGCGGGCCACAATGGCCGACCAAAGGTGCTCAGGTGAGCGATGTGGCCCATGGGCCTCTTGTAGCTAATTGGAATTCTTCACTCTTGAAACAATTTGATAATAAAATTTACCAATTGACTAGTTAAAAGTGTTTCGGAGGTGTCTTTGCGTCTCCATGTGAGTGAATAAATTTTCGAAAGGGACGTTAAACAACAAACAAACAAACCTGTCTTTGAAATTAAGGCACGTAATACATGGTAAGGCCCGCCTCATGAATAGATGAAGGGCCCACCTAGTGAAAACATAGGAGGAGTTGTAAATATGTCTGCATATTCATCCTGATAAATATGCTTCAGATGTCCTTTCTTCATGCATTTATTTATGGGTTAAACTTTGTGACTATGACATTGTACAAAGCATTTTTATCATTTGTAGATTCGGTTTGGTTCAATTGAATATTGTTAACGTATTCTTTTCAAATAGTTTTGAAATCATGATTCAGCTTCCTGAGACGTCCAGTGTATTTTTCTTTAAAAAAAACCCTTGAAGATTGGTTGTTTCTATACTTTTAATCCCTTCGAGATTTGTTAGGACGACATTTAAACATTTCCCCATTCCTCCAAATTTAGACGTACATGTACTCAGCACTTTTTGCCATTAAGCAGTGGGGGATCTTTTTTGAGCCAGCATCTTCTGCGACACTGGACATAACTTTTAATGATCCCCTTTGAAGGACTGTTTTCAACATTACTCATTGGGATTTGAACCTGCGATTTAAAATTAACCACTTTATTTCTTAACTCCAAAGTAAAATGCTCCAGAACCACTGCAAATCTCATGGCCCTCAAAAAGTACATTGTTCGTCTATAAGCTCAGAAGGTTGATGGAAGGTTTGAAAATGTATACGACGTATGTCTGGTCTTTGCGTATTTAAGAATCTTGTCTATTTTATTCAATTTATATAAATGTAATGGCATGAGATATTTCACAAGTTCAACTAAATAACAGTTGTGAATTAATTAATCATGAATTTTACTTTTAAACGGCATTTGTACGATACTTAGCATTTTGTTCACAAATCGCTTTTTTTTCTACTTTTCTTATTTATAAAGGTAATTTTCCATTAAATTTTAGAATGTTTTTCAAAGCTACTGTCAGAAAATAAAATTGTATACCTACCTACCGACCCAACTTGAGAATTTAGGGTCGGGTTAGGGGAAACAAAGATATTTTTAATTCTGGCCTTGAAATGTAGGGGTTATGTAGATCACTTCACTTCATGTCCTGAATGAATATGTATATTAAATGATTTAAGAAAAAAAAAACAAATTTTTTTTATTTTCCTTTAACAACCAAAGGAATTTGAAGTGCAGTTAAGTTTTGAAAAAAAATATGTAAGACAGAATGGAATTTGAATCTTAAAAACAGTTATTGTAATCTTATGTTCTCTTCTAAAATGGCTGGACCACAAATAATAATTCAAAGTTACAGCATTTTAGCAAGCATGATGCCACAAGAGGAATTGATTCATACTTTTACATAGAAATATATAAGGGGGGGGGGGGGGGCTGTATAAAAAAGATTCTTCTATAGATCAACAAAGACATAAGCTATGTTGAATTTATAGTATTACTGTATAAGGAAAGATATTCAATTATAATAAAGATTAAAGGACTAAGTTGGAGTTATGATTGAGCCTTCTACCAAAATTGTGAAATTCATGGCCCCCAGGGTCAGGAGTTTTAGTGCTAGGGTGGAGCTCTATATATTGATCATGTAGTGAAAAAGCATTAATTCTTTGAAAACCTTTGTCTCTGCTCCTGGGTATTGAATGAACTAACCAAGTACATAGTAATGTTGAACAAGACTGCCTCTTCCAAAAATGTGATTTTCATGGCCCCTGGCTTGGGGTTCTGGTGTAAGGGTGGGCTTTATTGATTATATAGTAAAAATGTATACTCTTTGAAAATCATCTTTGCTCCTGGTTATTATTTGAACAAAGGAAGTGCAGAATTATGATAAGCAAGAATGTCTCTTTCAAAATTTGGAAATCATGGACCCAGGGTCAAGGATTCTGATGAAAAGGGGGGGGGGGGAGTTATTGCTTATGAAATGAAAAATGCACAGTTTTCTTTCAAAATATTTTTCTCTACCCCTGGTTATAAAGTTAAGAAACAAGAGTTCAGTTTTGTTGAGCAAGGGTACTTTTATGAAATTTTTACAACTAGTTTCTCAGGGTTTCTGGTGTTTCTTGGGAGTGGGGATAGGGAGAGGTATTGATAATACAGTAAAAGTGTGTTTGTTCTTTGAAAATCTTCAACTAATTGCATAGTTATGTTGATGAGTGTACCTCTTCCAAATTTTGTCTTTAATGGAAATAATGGATATATTTATGATCTTCTAAATTGTTGTACTCAGGTGAGCATTAAGGCCCTTGGGCTTTTCTTTATTTAAATATTTCATGAGAGATCAGTGTGATATGTTTGTTTTCTTTTGTTTGTGACAGTTATACGAGTGTATGGAGCTGCTGAGACAGTGCCCCGCCCACTTGACCTTGACCTGCTGTCGTCACCTTATAGGATTCGTCATTGTTCACCTCAAGGATCCAGTCATCTTTGATAAAAATGTAAGTTCTAACTGTGATGGAAAACAATTTATGGTGAAATTTTAGTAGATTTTCAATTAATATCTGAGAAAACGAAGAAAATTCAAATATACAT